ATAAAATCTTTTAAATTATTTTATTTTTAATTTAATTTTATTTTTATTTAATTTTAAAAAATATAATAAAATAAAAATAAAAATGAACAATAAACAAATACAATAGATAGAATATAAATTTATATTGAATTTTGAAATAAAATTAAAAATTAAAACAAAAATTATAAATATTAAAAACTAAAATAAAACAATTAATAGTAAAAAAATAATTTTTATTTTATTTAATTAGCAAAATTAAAAATAATAAAATAAAATAATAAACTATTAGAAAATAAATAATAATTACAAATAAACCAAATAGAATTAATAATGTAATATGCCTCAGGTCACTTGAGGCTGGTTCCGAACCTAAACCTTAGGTGGTGTGACTTTTCACTCAGGTATAATGGATTCATGATGCCTGTATAAAAACAGAAAGCAAAAGACAGGCACTGCACCTATTTAACAATTGTTCTCTCTCCCATTATATACATTTGGTCCCTATGTGTCACTAATAAATTAATAATATATGATTTTCCACTTGTTATTTTTGTTGTTCTTAACCTCATTTTTTATAATTTATTTAATTTAATGGACCTGTTAGCAGAACTATTTTTATTATATTTTTTATTTTCATTTTATTTCATGAAATTAATAAAATTAATAGATTAGATTATTAAAATAAAACCAAAATGAAATAAATATAAAATATAAAATAAAAATAGTTATTAATAAATAAGTAACGGCACCGGAGCAGCCACAGCCTACTTTATCAGAGCCATCTGTTTGAGGCCTACATAAAACAAAATAAAATAATAAAATATAAATAAAATCAATTACAATTGCAATAAGTAGAAATAAAATTGAATGAAATATAAATATTATTTGAAAAATTACAACAAATAATATGTAAAATTAAATATAAAATTAAATCAAATTAGAAATAAAATAAAAGTAAAACGTCATCTGGGGGATAGATGCAGGCCCATCTCCCTCAGGCCTAGCCTAAGAAGAGGAACCCTCACTTTTTAAGGGGCGGGTGGGTTTCGTAATTTTTAGGTTTACAGTGTATTAACATATATATATGGAGATTTTAATGTTGTAAGCTGCCCCGATTGCTCTGCAGAGGGGCGGGATATAAATAAATAAATAAAACATAAAAACATAAATCAAAATAACCTGTAAAACTATAAAAATATGCAAATGAAATTAGAATAAAATATAAAATCAAATCAAATTTAAAAAATAAACTATATCCGAGCCCAGGTTAGAAAAAAGAGATGCGGAGAGGCCAATAGATGCAGCTTTGTGAAGTCGTAGGCTTTCATGGCCAGCATCCATAGGTTTTTGTGGGTTTTTCCGGCTGTGTGGCCATGTCCTAGAAGAGTTCCTTTCTGACGTTTCGCCAGCATCTGGCTGGCATCTTCAGAGAATGCAGCTTTCTTCGGTATGCACTTGGACCAACAACTAACATAATTATCTCATGCCAGATGTTTAAGGAGACCGAAGCCTGCACAAATAGTATAACCATCATCCACAATTTGAGGGGAAGCGATCAAACTCTATTACCCCTTAGCAGTTCCCAGTTCATCAATTCAAGCTGGCTGCTGTTGTGGGAGTTTTGAAAGGGATGAAGGTCAAAATTTATCTAACATATTTATCACCAAGTCGTTTAGAACTGACCAATTGTAGAGTTGTCACAGCTAATAAACTTTGGGGCGAAACAGACCGGCCCTTTGCGCTGACTTCGGGATGGCATGGGGGTTTGGCCTTCAGATGACGCACACCCCAATGCCACCCCCAAGCCAGCATCAAACAATGGGCAACTTTGTGGTGCTCAAGTGGTGCAGCATTTATAAGCCGCATGCCACAGGAATTCCAAAAAGCCACTGCCACTACAGAAAAGATGCCTTTTTGCCAGCTCAAACAGGAGCAGCTTTTTGCACTGGCAAAAGCCAGGTTGGGAGTGTGGCACGTGGTTGATCAACCTGGTGAACAAAGGGGCCTATTGTGTGGTCAGTGGGGTGGCGTGACGCCCCACCATCATGGGAGGGGGGACATATACATATGCCACGCCCCAAAGCTGGTGTATTGTGCCGGTCTGTTTTGGCCCTTTGGGCCTTTGCAGACTGCCAGAAATAGTGCAAACTGAGGGGGGTTGCAGACTGCCAGAAATAGTGCAAATTGAGTCCACTTTAAGGGTTAGGGTTAGTGCTAGGGAATCATGGGAATTGGTTTTTTTCTGAGACATTGAGCCTTCTCTGTCAGAGAGCTCTGGTGCCACAATAAAATACAGTTCCCATGAGTCCCTAACCCTAACCCTAACCCTTAAAGTGGACTCAATTTGCACTATTTCTGGCAGTCTGCAACCCCTCTCCGTCTACTTTAAGAGTTAGTGTTAGTGCTAGGGAATCATGAGAACTGTTTTGTTTTCTAAGACACTGAGCCTTCTCTGTCAGAGAGCTCTGGTACCACAATAAAATACACTTCCCATGATTCCCTAACCCTAACCCTAACCCTTAAAGTGGACTCAATTTGCACTATTTCTGGCAGTCTGCAAAGGTCCTTAGTTCTGCTAACAGGTCCATCAAAAGGACTGTATATACATCAGTACTCCTAGGCTGTTGGGTGGGGCAGCTGTGCGTGGGATATCATAATCCTCCAAATCTGCCTTATTAATTTCACCCACTTTATCCGGTGGTTCCAGTGCCTCAGCCAGAGAGGCATATCCGTTGGATCAGGGGTAGGCAACCTTTCCCCTTTAAGGGCCGAGGGACTTCAGCTCCCAGAATCCCAGGAGCTATTGGCCAACATGAGACTATTGGCCAACATGGCTGAGGCTTCTGGGAGCTGAAGTCCCTCTGCCCTTAAAGGGGAAGGTTGCCTACCCCTGCGTTGGATAATAGGATGTCAGCAAAAGAAGGAATTATAACAGACTTCCATTTCTCTATAAAATTATCCAGTTTGCTTTGCTTGGAGCATGGTACATTTTTGAGTTTTGCAGAAATATTGGTCTTTTCCATCCTCTTGTCAGTTAAAATTCTCCACTCCCTCTAGATGTTATAAAAACTTTCAGAAGCTGAAGCTCTTCAACCAGCATAATGAGGTAGGGAGGATAAGCCTCAGTGTCTATATCAGCAGCTGTCAGCCCAATGATAATTATGAGACTTGAATAATAGGAAGCAATAAAGTAATACATTTCAGCCATGGCAGACCAAAAATACCTTCAAAAGTTTTAAAAAATAATTTTATGTATATTTTTAACTGAGTAAGAGGAGATAGAGCCTTTCCCCTCCCAGTAGGGTCAGGCAAAAGCAAACTGCTGTAGCTTCTGCTAACTTGAGACTTCTTCCACATTAATAACTCTTGCCATCTCAACCATATTCGGATGGTGCTTGGCCACAGGTGTCCTTGTTTTCATCTCTGAAATACCAAAGGATGTGTGAATCACAAATGGAGACACCGGCTGCATCTACATGGCAGAATCAATGCAGTTTGGCACCATTTTAACTGCCATGGCTCCATGCTATGGAATCCTGGGATTTGTCATTTTGTGAGATATTTAATCTTTTCTATCAGAAAGCTCTACAAATCCCAGGATTTCATAGCATGGAGCCATGGCAGTTAAAACTGGTGTCAAACTGCATTAATTCTGCAGTGTGGCAGGAGCCACTAACACCAGGGAGCAAGCATAGCTTCTAAGAGCTTCCTACACAGGCCATTCACCTGACCAAGCCTGGTCTGCTTTCGACAAGAGTCATGTCAAAGGACTGACTGGTTCTGTGAAGTTTTCTTTTTGTTCACCAAACCAGAGCTGATACTATTCTATCATTCAAGAGGGTGAGTGCTACAATCCATCTGAATCACCTGGGTTCCTTTTGTTGTTACTGCTGAGCAATAAAAACTGGATTAATCTAGAGGAAGTTGCTATAATTAAACCTATCTTATAGAAATTCTACTATAATCCATTTCATCCACTAACAATGAAGGGCATGTGCTTTTTCGAGGAATTATTTCACGGTGGTGTTTCAGGTTAATAATAGTAACCATGTGTGCATCTATAGAATGCTTCCATGAGTCACTGCATCTAAGGCCCAGACCTGATGGGCACGAAAGAGCAGCCTGAGTCCGCTCCAGCTGGAAGCAGGTCAGAACCTCGCTGTCCGCACGGCCCGCTCCCAAGGTGAGCCATGGGCACAGGGGCCAACCAGCACCACTTGAGTCAGATTATCTCTGCTCCTTTTTGCTCTGGTTCTAAGGACCGTAGGACAGTTTCGGCACTTTGGAGGTGTGCATCATTTAAATACCTTATACTGGATTATTTCTGCAGTGGACCTTATTTTTTTTATTTTATAAAAAAAAAATTAGATTCAAAGGGGAGGCTTGGACAGAAATCTGAAATCTCTTTACTTTCTGAGAGGAGAGATTACAAGCCCTGAACTTTAGGTTTTCTTCAACCCTGGGTACTTGCTTCTGTCCCCAGCACCTCTGAAGAAGGCATTTATCAGATCACAATCCTCAATACATGGGATTTGCTAAGTGTTGATTCATCATTCAGTAACTGATTCAGCTGGTCAATTTTAGACAATAGAGCCACCAAAACTGTAGGCCCTTCCACACTACACAGTTACAGTGTTATGATTCAACTTTAACTCCATGGTTCCATATACCTGGGACTAGTAGTTAAGGAAGGGGCATTTAGGACTTTCAACCAGATAAGACCTCTGGTGCCTCCAACCAAACTACAAACCCTAACATTTCATTGTATGTTGCCATGGCAGTTAAAGAGGAATAATAGTGCTATGATTGCCTAGTATGAAAGGAACCTGTCACATTAATTAATCACTATAGCTTTGTTTAGTATTCTTTGTTGGTGTATGGCTTCAAGTCATTTCTGACATATGGTAATCCTAAAGCAAACCTATCATGGTTTTCTTGGCAGGATTTGTTCAGAGGTTTGCCATTGTCTTCTTCTGAGGTTGAGCTCAGGTGACTTGCCCATAGTCACACAATGGGTTTCATGATTGGGCAGGGAATTGAACCCTTGGTCTCCAGAATTGTAGTCCATGACTCAAACCATTACAGTACACAAACCCAGAAATTTGGAATCCCCTCCAAACCTGTGTTGCATAGGTTTGGGAGGGATGTCAAATTTCGGGGTGCATAAGAAGGAAAGCTGTTTTGTTGTGTTAAATGTTCCAGTAGATGATCTACAGCAGAGGAAAGCGTTAAAGTCCTTCAGCAGATGGGTTTCAGCAATCCCTTTCAGTAACTGGTATAGAACCCTCAAATAATGAATTCCACCCAAGCTATCCCAGAGCCAACACTCCTAATCACCATGGCTGGATAATGGGACCCCAAGTTAGGGTATACTCACTCCTGGGTAAGACAACAGGAAGATCAATCCCTAAGGTTATACAGGCAGAGCCAAGCAAATAATATTGGACTGTCCAAGTGTAATCCATCTCCCATCCTCATTGTTATGACAACTGTAGAGAGGACCCACAGTATCTGCTGGGATTTGATTCTAGGATCACCACCACCACCCCAGATATCAAAATCTGTGGATGCTCCTATCCCATTAAGTACAATGGCATAGTGAAATTGTGTCTCTTATATAAAATAGCAATATAAAGGTTTGCTTTTTGGAATTTATATCTTTTTGGAATATTTTCAAGCCACAGATAGTTGAATCTATGAACAAAGAATTCATGGATACAGAGGGCTGAATGTATAAACACATTGGTAACAGGAAACAGAGAGAATCTACCAAGGTGAGGTGAGTAGTAATTGAGTCTTACTTGTCATAGGGTTGGACATAGAAGAGATGTATCTGCTGATAGATCTACGCATTGTTTAGAGTGGATCAGGAAGGGTTTCCGAATGTATAACAAGAGCAACAACTCCCCCTGTCAAATTAAGCTACTGATACCAGTACAGCTTGTGGGGCAGGAATGGTTTTCTATGCCAAAAGCACTGTGAGCTCCACTCTGGCATTTGAAAAATAATAATCACAAATTGGGGAGCACACTGGGCTGCTCTGATTCTTAACTTGAAATTTGCACCTGTCTCTTATTCTAAGCCAGTATTTTGTAAATGGCTGCAGGTGCAGGGGCCCATGCTGGGTTTCTAGGGAGAAATGCTCCTCCCTTAGAAGCTGAGTAGAACAACTGAAGCATTATTGTATATTATATTCTTTTCAAGCAGAAATCTCTGTAATGCCATTAAAAAACACCAGGGAGCAGCAAACCATTGTGCACATGGTTGTTGGGTTCTTCATTAATTTTCTACACACACACACATACACTTGCCCAGTCACCAGCTACCCAACTGGCCTAGAGATTGGAAGAGGGCCTCATACAGCAGCATTGGAAAGGACCTTTTTCTTCTATATTTTTTCAATTGAATTTTAATATAAGGGATCTAATTCACAATCGAAGTAGTATCCATTCAGAAAACAGACTTGGGGCAGAGCAGATGGGCAGGGAAAAGTGGCTAGAACCTGCATTTTCTAGAAGCAGGTCTAAACCCCACTATTTGTTCCGTCTGCTCCCAAGGCAGCCTGAATGCACATGGCCTGACCGCACGGTGTGCTGTTAAGCTGTGCCAATGGGTATTTTATTTTATTTTATTTTATTTTTGCTGCCTCCCCACCATACATGCACATCCTCACACTGGCAAAGCACAATCATGCCCCCTCCTGCATGCCCTCTTCACCCCACTTCACCCAATGCTCCCTCTTGGAGTGTCTGGTTTGTGTATGTTGTACACTGGAGGTGACACGCTTTCACATATTTGCATTGCTGCCCAGACCACTTGGGTATACCAGCTCCATCCTTTTTTAATGCACACCTGCACCAGTGTGTTTACATGAAGTTTTAGGGTTATATGCAAGGATGAAGGTGTGCATTTTCCAGGCTAAAGTTGGAATATTCCAACTTCTTTTTGTTCTGGTTTTTAACCCTGAAGCACAGCTTCAATCCAGGATTCGCCCACTTCAGAGGCATGCATCATCTAAACGCCCCATCTTGAAAGCAGGTGGAAACCAGTGTGTTTTTTGTTTGTTTGCTTGTTTGTTTGCTTGTTTTTTTGTCCATCTCTTTCACCCCAAAGAGGGGGGAAAAAGAAAAGAAAAATACAGGTTTGAGTGTTGGACTATGACACTACACACTGGAGACCAGTGGACATGAGACAGGGTCTTCTTAGTGGCTGCCCCTAAACTTTGGATGCCCTCCTTAGGGAGGCTAGAATGCGCCTTTCCTTCCTGTTCTTCTAGCAGCAGACCTTAAAAAAATATTATTCAGACTGACTTTTAGAATTTAAGTCTTTTAACTATGGGCTGTAAGCACTTTATAAATTATATTAATTTTCACAATCTTTTATATTTTAAATATGTTCATTTAATTCCCTAATTCGCTATTCTGACTCCTTATGCTAATTTGGATGTTTTAATTTATTTAATATTGTATTTTAATTGATTTGTTGTTTAATCCTGTTTTAAAGGGATGGGAGGGTGGGATTATGGGATGAGGGAATGTTTTAACTTTATTCTGTTTTAATATTGTTGTACCCCACCCCAACTGTCGCGCAGAGGGGCGGGCTATAAATAAAAATTTATTATTATTATTATTA